CCTTATTCACTATCCAGCTTTTGCATGCATATGAGGTTATTGAAAATACCATGGCTTGGGTCAGGTGCACCTTAGTCCTCAAACTGACATTTTTGCTCTTCAACACATTAAAAAAAGGTCTTGTGCAGCAGATTTGCCTAACGCAATACGTCATTTGATTTCTTGACTGCTGCTTCCGTGAGTGTTGATAGTTGATCCAAGAAGAATGAAGTCCTTGACAATTTCAATCTTTTCTCCATTGATAAGAATGTTGCTTATTGGACCAGTGGTGAGGATTTTTGTTTTCTTTACATTGAAACATAATCCATACCAAAGGCTGTGCTCTTTGATCTTCATCAGTAAATGTTTTAAGTCCTCTTCACTTTCAGTAAGCAACGTTGTATCATCTGCATATCGCAGGTTGTTAATGAGTCTTCCTCAAATCCTGATGTCATGTTTTTCTTCATAGAACCCAGCTTCCAGATTATTTGCTCAGCATACAGGTTGAATAAGTATGGTGAAAGAATACAACCTTGTCACACACCTTTCTTAACTTTAAACCATTCAGTGTTCCCATGCTCTGTTCGAACAACTACTTCTTGGTCCAGGTACAGATTCCTCATGTGCACAACTGAGTGTTCTGGAATACTCATACTTCTCAATGTTGTCCATATCTTGTCATGATCCACATAATTGAAAGCCTTTGCATAGTCAATAAAGCACAGGTAAACATCTTTCTGATGTTTAGCCAAGATCCATTGGACATCAGCAATGATATCCCTCATTCCACGGCCTCTTCTAAATCCGCTTGAACCTCTGGAAGTTCTCTGTCAATGTATGCTTGCAGCTGTTTCCGTATTACCTTTAGTAGTCCTAGTGTGGCGTTGTGAGTTATTGCACTGGACTACAGAGTCGGTCAGAACTCCATGGTTAGTGGTTCAAGCTCACCAGCTGCTCCTCGCATACTCTGTACAGGTTTGCTATGGATTGGAAAACCTCTCGATGGCACTTAATAGCAAACAATAGTTAGACTGATTTTACTTTCCCTATCGAATTAAATCATTTTTGGAGTTACAAGTTATGAGGGTAAGTCAAAAAGTATTGCTACTAGACTTCCAGTTCAGACATGCGGGTATATCCCAAACAAAATGTGTTTAAACATGTCTCTGAGTTCAGTGGATGGCCTTTCATCTTGCAGACAAGTTCTCGCAGTAAGTCATTTGGCTTAATCTTACTAAGGTGCCTTCAAAAAAACAGTTTCAATCAAAACAGTAACTGGCTTCTGAAGGATCTGTTGAGCCACTTAAACTCAAAGCACAGAGGTCAGTTCAGAAAGTTAGAGCAACTGTTTCAAGGAACTTCAAAGGAGTAATCTTGACAGCTTTTCTAAAGGTCAAACACACCAGTTGCTCAATGGAGAAAGATGTGACAGTATGTTTCAACAAAGCTTACAGCCTTAGAAACCCTATGGGGCAGGTCTACTCTATCCATCAGGGTCTCTATGAGTAGAAATCAACTGAATGGTAAACAAAAACAGCTTCCACCAGTGATTCCTATTTTTAATTACTGCCAGCAATCACTCCAGAAATGTCAAAAAGTCTCCCAAGGCAACCATAATATAAACCATAGGAATAAGTTCTGATAAAGATAACAATCAAAACTTCATTTTAAATATAATTCATTTTAGTCTCAGAGAATTGCTAACTCATGAATGTACAGAGTGGTTATGAGTCGGACTGCTAATCTCAAAGTCAGCAGTTCAAAAGTACCAGTGGCTCTGTGGGAAAAAGATGAAGCATTCTGCTTCTGTAAAGATTACAGCCTCAGAAACGCTATACAGGGTCGCTATGAGTGGGAAATGATTCCACAGCACATAACCACCACCAGCTTGGTAATACTGAAATTAACATTCAAAAAGAAAACATTATCCAAAGTCTTTGTTTTCTATTTGTCTTTTCGGCTATATCTCCAACTCATTGTGTCTCATAAATTGAAACTGAGGGAAAATTATAGCTCTGACAAAAAATAAAGAGATATACATAGAATGTAGTTTATCTATTACACAAGAAGAGCTGCAAGCAAAGGGAAGGAGATAGGCAAAGATGCCAGCTAGTCAGAAATGCTTCCCCAGACCAAAACCAAAACAACCCACACATTTTTGCAGGACACTCTGTGAATCATTCCTTGTTTGAGACAACACTAGGTTTTTAGAGATACACTTGTGAACAAGTTAGGTAAGTTTTCTTGAATCAAAATTTCTTTATATGGTTTCTTTCTTTCCTTAAAAAAAAAAAAAATCCATATTGTCTTTCTCCATTGATCAATCAACATTTACTGAACATACACAAATTACATCTGCATATAAAGTTGGAGACCTCCTATTTTGCTATGAGTTCATGCACTAAACTGCAGAGTCAGCTTGAGCCACAAGGTTGGTTGTAGCCCTATATACGGATTCTGAGACTGTAAGTCTTTATGAGAACAGACAGCCTAATCTTTCACCTGAGGAAAGATGGCTGATGGCTGGTAGGTTTGAACCACTGATCTTGTGGTTAACAGTCCAATGTTGATCTCATAGTGCCACCAAGACTCCTCATAATAGACATTAGTCGTAAACAGTTGAGAAAAACCTTCCTTGCCTACTAGCGCAATAGTCATTATTTGAGAACAGGGAGGAAATGGAAAAAGGAAGGAGTAAATCCTAAATTTTGAACTGTTACTCATTAATTTATTCAGCAAACATAGATAAGATACTTATAATGTGTGAGGAAACTTGTTAGGTGCCATGGAAAACATAAAAATGAATTATAGCAGAGTACAGGGAACCATTTGCCAGGTCTATGCATATTCCCATGTTCAATCCTGACATTCCCAAGGCAAACTAGCTTTGAGCTTTATTCTTGACTTTGTTCTATGACCTGGGACAAGTCGTCTACCATCTCTAAGTTTCAACATCCCAATACACAAAGTGGACTCATGATTGTTGTTGTTGTTGTTAAGTTCTGTGGAGTCAGTTCCGACTCATAGTGACCCCGCACAGGGTTTACGAGGCTGTAAATCTTTATGGGAGCAGAGCGCCTCATCTTTCTCCAGCGGAACCACTGGTAGTTTCGAACTGCTGACCTTGAAGTTGGCAGCCCGACTCGTAACCACTAAGCGACCAGAGCTCTTTAGGACTCATGATAGTACCTAACAATGTAAGGCTGTTGTGTGGATTAAACAAGATGATGCATAAAGTTATTCACACCACGCCTGATATAACTGCAGTCATTGAGAGGTTACTATTACTATAACTCTACTCTGTTCATCTCCTACATTCCTTCCTTTCTCTTCATTTCTACTGCTACTACTCTAATGCAGGCTATTCCTGGAATGACTGAAAAATGTTTTTCCTTTTAGCCATCAAATTAGTTTGGCAAAATAACTGATTTTCTGTGTGCCTAACCTACTATTTCCTGCCTTTGTACCTCTGTCCATCCCTTTGACCAGTGTGCCTTCCCATCCATTTCATCACAGAGGGTAAAGAGCTCCACAAAGTCTTCCCTGTTTTTCCACAACTGAAATAGAGCTTCCTTCTATGTTTCCACTGAGTTTATGACACTCACTTTCAACTATGTATAATAGCTATTTGTGTTCATGTGTATTTTTCTTCCTAGTCTGTAGTGGTATCACTAGGGGTTCGCATTACCCATGCGCCATTTCAACCTCCTCTCATACCAAGATATTCAGAATCTTTAGTAATGTTTATTATCAATTTTAATAATAAAATGTGATAAATATAATTTTTAAATGCTAAAATGTAATATTTCTAAGATTATAGGAAATTAGCAATAAAATTATTTTGTAAAATCTTGCTACATTGAGTTACATTATTAAAGTATTATTAGTATCTGAGTGGAAACTTTTTTGAGTTTTTTTTTCTTTTCCTTTAACTACTACTTCATTCTGAAAAAGAAAGCTACTGATACAGGTTTACAGATACTAATTACCACAATATTGTAGCTAAAACACCAGAAAATTTAACAAAATCAGTGATCACAAAAATACCAATAGCAATAAAATCAACAATGTGTGATTATAGCAAATGTTGACAAAACATTGTGATTCAAAGTGTCATTGTGATTGGGTAATATCAATAGCTCTGACCAGAGCACATTAGAAGGTTCAAAAAGTGAGTCAGAGAGTTTTAGCCTGTAGGTATACTGCTGGACTCCTGGTAAGGCGCTGTAGAATCAGCTTTGGACTGCGAACCACAAGGTCAGCAGTTCAAGCCCACCAGCTGCTCCTTGGAAACCCTATACAGGGTTGCTATGAGTTGGAACCAACTCAACAGCACTTAACAACAACAACAAGGTATACTAATACACGTAAGCTGAACTCACAAAAAATGTTTTTGTTTTTAAAACTACAGTAATTCATTTGAAAATAATGAATTTCTGCGGAAACACTGCACAACAATTTAGTAAACTCTAATTTCGGTGTAATTGACAGTGTCAGTGGGTACAGTCAGCACTCTCTATGGACTCTAATGATGTCACTTCTAATCTATGAGCAGCGTGAAGGCTTACCCAAATTGAGTGCTCCAAGATGGCTGTAGCCAGAATCAAAGGTTATCCTGTGCACATGCGTCAAGGAACTTAATATAGATACAGGTACATGGCAACAAAGGGAAGAAAAATCTGTCAGTGCTTTGAAAAAGGAAAGTTTCAAGCTTTTGTCCCATAAGTCATATTTATCTGAAACACAAAGATTTTATATATATATTCAAACATTTCCAAGTGCCAGTTAGATGCATGGTATGAAGAATAAAGAGGCATATTATATTATAGGATTTTCACCCCTATAAAATAAGATTATAAGATTGCTATTCTCAGTAAACAGTAAACCATAGCATAGGCTCCACACAATCCTAAAAATGTCCTAATACTGAATTGGGTTACTTAAAAATCTCAACAATTTGAAACCATAAGGTAGAAATAGGAAATTAGAATTTGGTACTATTTATGCAACTGTTTTCTTACTTTTCTTTCCTACTGCCCAGCTGGCGAGCAGTATATTGATCCCCATAGTCAATTAGCACTAGTTGTCGAGAAAAGATGTTCACTTTGTTGCCTATAAATAAATCTTCCAAGCGCAGGTCATCATATTTGGTCCGCTTTAAAAATGTACGATGATTCTTTACATCATGCTAGAACCAAAACATGAACAACAAAACAGGTATTTATCAACCAGGAATAGTAATATTATTATAAACTAGAAATAGTTCTCAATTCTGTCCCATAAAAGGTAAGCTGCATTCTCTTTCTTTTTAGCTACAAACACAAATCATAAATTTTTTGCTTTATAACTTCTGTATATCCTAGTCCAATTCAATAAAAATGTAAGCATTTCTTATTACAAACTTAATACTACAAAAAATCCTAAATTTAGTAAGATTTACTTATTGTCATATCGCATTAGGAAATTATGGTTGTTAAGTACTGTCTAATTGTTTTCAACTCATAGTGACCTTGTGCTGGCTTTCTGAATAGTGGCTGGTGGGTCTGAACCACTGACCTTGTGGTCCAAACTGACTTTGCAGTTGACTGCTTATCCTACAGCTCTTACAAAATCCACAAGGAAGACAGTCACATATATAAATCTCTGCTTTCTTGCCTATACAAAATACCAATGCCAAATAGATTCATTTGCAAGAGCAGATGCCAATAAAAGGACCACACATAAACTAACAGGATCCTCTAAGCTCAATCTTCTTCAGTTTGAGTTCTGTAGCAATAACAGCTTTCAAAAATGATGACACATTTATAGCATGTCATAAATGATCATGTTTATTTACAACCTGGCACTATAAGAAAAGCACCAGCCTGCTAACCACAAGATCGGCAGATCAAACACACCAGTCACTCTTCAGAAATCATATACAGGGTCACTATGAGTCCGTAACAATGTGACAATACTTAACAATGTTTTTTTGTATTTTTTTTTAATGTTTCTATTGTTAATTATGTGATAGTTTACATGGGAGAACATCAGCTTTATATTCATCCTATATTTTGTTTCATTGCAATGATTACAATTCCCTCCATGCATCATCAAACAACCAAAGTGTACACCTCGCAAGCCTGCCGCCACTCCCCACCACCTTCAGCACACAACCCCTCTCCCTCCCTGAGTTGAGTCCCCAACCTCTCCATCTCTCTATGTCATTGTCTCTGCCTCCATCTTTGGCATCACTGCTTCTCTGGGTAGGGTCCTGCACTCTGCTCTTCTCCCTTGATGGTCCCAGGGACCTCTGCTCCTGAACTGCAAAATCAACCACTTCCCTCTTTTTGTTATAAAACGTCCATTTCCAACACTCACAGTCAGTCCTGATAGCAATTATTCACAACTAAACCATAAGAGTCTTATCCCCATCTCCTTTCATCAGACCCATCCAGACACTTTGGAATCACTCAGTAGAGATTCTACTTTCCCCTGCACCCTCTGGAACTAGGCTCCATCTTGAAAGCTTGAAAGCCAGTCACTTCTTGCCTTTGTAATTCCCCCCACCCCCCAATTTGGGTAGCCAATGTCCAAGTTGCCCATCGCTGTCAACCCTGTGTACCAAGGCGGGGGAATGATCCTCGCTGTAAAAATGTGTTCCCTCTTTGAGCTAATACATCCATAAGTATAGTTCAAATTCATCAAATTGTAGCAGATTACTCTTTTTTCCTCTTCTTTCTTCTTCTAGTAGAGTTTTGATCATCCAGCCATTAAAGCCAGGTCTAGTAGGTACTATCTGCAAGTAAGGGTGTTCTTGTGCATCTCCCCCTCACTTCTTATCAGCTGGATGCTTCACTCTCTGGTCTGGACCTCTGTGGCCATGTCCCTGTCCCTGGGCCAAGGAGTCCCCAAGTCTTACCACATTGCTAGCCAACCAGGTCTCAACCCGGGTTGACAGGAGTCTATTGAACATATAACTTCACTGCTATTTTTCCCCCAATTCCCCTTATCGGTGACCAACATGGTCACCAGCAAGACAACATGCCTGCTTGTGTATTCTCCTTGAATCTTAGTCTAACAACAACTATCTGTTAATCAAAAGCACGTCTACTCCAACTTCAGTTTTAATCTTACTAATCTTCCTAGTAATTGTTTATATTGGATTTACAACAAATACAAAAGTTCTCATGAATACACGTATATGCAAAAAAAGACTGATTTACCATTTCAACAGATCCATCCACTGGGTAAAATAAAAGCTCATAACGTCGAAGAAGTGAAGCATTTGGATCATACCACTCTGCAATGAAAGCGTATCTTTCACTATGATTCTGCAAAGATAAAAAGAATTTTAATAATGACATATAAAATATGAGTACTCTTGTGCTAATCATACAAAATGAAAGCAAAAATCACATATTTTACAAAACATGTATTTATTATATTGAATTATTCTGTTTTTCAACCATATATCAACAGTGAACAACACACCCTCATATATGGTTCCTTTTAATTTTTCATTAAATATTCTTAGACATCTCAAAGATAACTTATGGACTGCTTCATATTCCACAGCCATCCAATCACCCAGGGTAAATTAACATTTTCTCTTATTCTGGCTTTTGTAATAATTCAAAGTTCTTCTGAAAGCAAATATAAAAACAGACCATCAGTAAAGCAATATATGGAAATATTTATGAGAGGCCAGTTCTCAATTACATGAAGGTTTACCTTTCCTAAATTTAAGAATTTAGCAGCATTAGAATATTTTTCGTCAAAATAATCACAGTAAACATATATTTGTTCACTAGTAATTTCCAATGATAGTATTTTTTTAATAGAAATAGTAGGAGAATTTGATAGTCTGGTCTTCCAAGAAACAGAAATCAGCAAAGAACAAATAATGCAACAATTTTATGAAGAGAAATTCCTCTCAAAGGAAAGAGGAGGGAGCCAGGAAAGGCTGGGAATGTTGACAGTCTGTATCCAATGCAAATCTGACCCTGAGTGAAGGAAGCTTAGATGAAATCATTCTAGAAGGCTATGCAATTGAAGGTAGGTCCAGCAAGGTTAACAGCAAACATTCCAGCCAAAATTGGTCATCAGAGGAGTCCCTTGTCTCCCAAAGATGGGTATGCTTTAGTATCTCTGCTTCTCTCAAATCACTGACTGAAGCCTTTGTGAAGCAGAACTGGAGCAGAAAAGCAGCAATGGATTTCAGAGCACAAGAGTTGGGGCACTTGGCCAATTATGCCACCTCTACTTGTAGTCCTAAGGAGCTCTGCTAACATAGTGGTTACGAATTGGGCTGCTAATCTCAAGGTCAGCAGTTCGAAACTACCAGCTGTTCTGCAGAAGAAAGAAGCTCTGTTCCCATAAAGATTTGCAGCCTCAGAAACCCTGCACAGGGTCACTATGAGTCAGAACCAACTCTACGGCACACCACCACCACCAGTTGTAGTCCTGGCTAGGTGCTATAGGATAAGCAAGGTTGGTGGTTCAAATCCACCAGACACTCTTTGAAAGCCCTATATAGGATTCCTATGAATTGGAACCTGTTGAATATAAAAAAGAACTAGATGCAGGGATGGTTGAGGACATGGACTCAGGACGTAAGCCACCAGGCAAACCTGTGTGAAAAGGAAGCAAACTTCCTTATACGTCTTAGAGTCCTTCCTTGACCTAACAGAATATAAACAAGAATAGATTCGAGACATGTACCAAATATTTGTTGACTTACTGAGAATTTTTAGCCACAACAAAATAGTGTAAGGAATGCACAGATGTTAGCAGTGTAGCTACAAGCAGGCAATGCTTTGACTGTTATCTCAAAACATGTATAAAAGGCCATGGAAGCTAAAAATAAAGTGCTGCTCTTGCCGGACAAGGCAGCCTCCTGTTCTCCTTCGCACTCCTCAGGCTCCCTGGTTCCTTAGAGGAACCCATTCAACAGCATTTGTTGTTGTCAGGTGTCATCGAGTCGGAACCGACTCATAGCGACCCCATCCACAGCAGAACGAAACAATGTCTGATCTTGGGCCAACCTCACTACCGCTGCCACACTTGATGCCATCAATGATGCCACCTGGCTGATTCATCTTTTGGGGGGTCTTCCTCTCTTTCTCTGACCCTCCATCTTACCCAGCATGACATCCTTCTCTAGCAACTGTTCTCTCCTGACAATATGTCCAAAGTATGAGAGACGAAGTTTAGCCATCTTGGCCTCCAAGGAGCACTCTGGCTGCACTTCTTCCAAAACAGATC